GATTGCTTAAATGGTTACTGCAGCACACGGGGGCTCACCTTCAAACCCCCCAGCACAGCGACGAGGGGCCACTCTCCCGTTTAATATCAAAGTGAGCCAATGTGGCCACTGTCACTACATGTCACTCAGCCCTTGCTCTTGGTGGGTGCGTGGTGAGGGCAGTGGCAGGAGCTGGCACATGGTGGATAGCAGGGATGCTCCACTGAAATCCTTCCTGTCAGCACTGACGCCTTTTTCGGTGTTTTCTGCCCTGCCCATCCCTGGCACTGCCAAGCCCACCGTAGAATTTGTACTCATGTGGTGGAACAGCAGTTCTTTGCATTGAGTCCTAAAGCGTGTCAGAGTCCCTCCCCTCGCCGTAACGTGGGTGATGGATTTGAGGTGAAGAACACTCTTCCTCCATGCTGTTCCTCAGCCCCACTGGGGTGTCTGGGCAGGGGTGCTGTGGGCTTTGGGGTCCCGGGAAGGAGAAGAGGGACCAAGTGGCAGCTCCCACGGCAGTGGCACAGATCTTTCTGCTCCCAAGCATCCCCTTCCCTCCTGTGGCACACCCAGGTTTCCTAAAAGAGACAGGATCTTCCTTCTCTGCAGATCATCTTTGGTGGGAAAGACACAACTGCTGCTCAAGAAAACCTTTTCCCAGTGGCAATGACCCACCAAGGGCACTGCAAGAGGTTGGGAAGCAGCAGGAGGACAGCGTGGGTCCTGCCGTGGATTGCACAGCGCCCTCGCCCCTGCGCTCCCAGCAGGGAACCGTCAGGGCTAAGAATAGACAATTTATTCATATGCATCCCTTTCTCTGTGAAGGGTGCTTGAGGCACTGTGCAGCAATTAAAACAAGTTCGTAATAATAGCGCCAGCAGATCAGCAGTGCAGACATTGGAGCTGGTGGAGGATTTGGCGGTGCCGAGGGTGGATGGTGGGAGACTGGTGCTGCTGACCTCCCTGGTGGAGACCAGCATCTCCCTGGCAAGGGGATGCAGGGGCAGTGCTGTGAGGTGGCAGGATCAAAGCCTGGGTGTCATTGCAGCTGCAGTGTTGGATGTGGGGCTGCAGGAGGCGCAGGGTGGAGGGGGCCGGCACTGCTCTGGGCTCAGCAGAAGGGAAGGCATCTTCCCGGGGCAGGCGGGAGGAGGGGATAATGGTGCTGGCAGAGATAATGGCAGTGTTTGTGGGGTGGGCAGTGTGCTGCTGGGTGAGGCAGGCGTGCGATGCTCTGCCCTCCCTTATGGCAGTGGGGGATGGCCCTGGGGGAGCAGACAGTGGGCAGGAGAGTGGGGTTCACCTCCACTAATTTAGGTCAGCCCAGGCTCTTCACTGAGTTACTGGGGTGCCTTATCCCACCTCTGGGCAGGGACCCTGGAGCTGCTGGTTCCTGTTGGCTGCATGGAGGGTCAGGCGGACGAACACAGGATTTCAGTGCATCACTGTCAGAGCCACGGTGTCCTCTTCCAGTGAACCTCCTGCCGCTCGCTGTGTGCCAGTTCGTCTTTGGGAGAGCATAGCAGGTTTGCTGCAGAGTGAACATCACTTGGGCAGCGTGCCACTGATGGAGTGGACCAAAGGGACCCCAAAACATGCAGTGTGGATGTCAGTCCTCAGCCCCGCCTGGGTTGCTGTTGGAGATGCTACTACAATTTCACCAGGGTGAGTCTTGCCCCAGTGCCTGGTAGGACCAGCACCTCCAGGCACCCCGCCAGCCAGCAGTGCTTGCCCACCCCACTGCCAGGGGACGCAGGTGGAGGGAGACCCTAAGCCTTGCGGGATCCCGGTGATCGTATGTGCAGTGAACTTGTTTCCGGCTCTCTGCAGGCTGCTGCGCCCGATGCCAGAGTGAATTTGGCACCTGGCCCTCCTGCGAGGCTGGGGTGGGGGGAGAAGAAAGGCTGAGCCCTCCCCACTGCCCGCGCCGCAGGCAGGAGATTCAATTACCCCCGTGCTCACACAATGGCCGTTTATCTCCGGGAGCAAAACCCTGGTAACCGTCAGGGCAGAGCGTGAAGGACTGATTAGAGGGTGTGCGGGGAAGGGCGCTGGGGTCGTGTGCAGGCACTTCCCTTCCCATTTCCAGGGCTTTCCATGGTAATGGCTCCTATTTTCCTCCATTGTTGGGACGTCACTCACATGTGGCTCGAACGACATCTGTCAAAACATGTCCCCCCTGTCCTTGGGGCTCCTGGGGAAGAGGGATCTGTTGGCCCCATAATGAGCCTGACATCAATTAATCATCAGCCTTAAAAATTAGCATTGTGGCAGTACATGTTGGAGGGAAGTGATTCCCCAGATGGAAGAAAAAATAGCCTCAGTTATCTCCCTCCTCCCGTGGGAGGTGGCAACAATAGAGCCACTAACGAGCCTGGAACTCATTTAAGCTGGGTTTGCCCCCCCGACCTTCCCCGGGGCTGGGGAAGCTTGGGGTATGTTGTGTGGCTTCCTGCCCTGGCTCATCTCTTGAGGTGCTCTTGGGGGACCACCTTGTGCAACAGCTGATGACCTTCCCTGGGGCCTGGTCCTGCCCGCAGCTGGGCCCTCATGGGCTGGCATCCCCCAGGCTTTGCACAGAGCCCAGGGTGAGCTTGCAGGCACTGAGCCCCTTCCTGAGGCTGAAGGTTTGAAGGACAGCAGCACTGCAGGGGTCTCGTTCTTCTGGACCTCATCCCTGGGCAGCCCAGGTGGGCCGGGATGAGGGTTCAGCCAGTGCCTCAAGGACCCATCCTGCTCCGGGTGGGCTGTCCCTTGCACCTCTCCAGGGTGGCAGCTCTGAGCAGCGCCGGTGCTTGTGACAGCTTGCCTTGCCAGCTCTGATATTCATGAGCTCGGCAATGGGCTGGAGGTCTCCAGAGACCCAGACCCCCTGTCTGGGAGGTGACTTGGCACCTTCCCTGGAGGTTCATGGTGACCTGGTGTGCCCATGCCGTGCTGAGATTTTCCATGCTCGGAGCTGCTCTCCCTCGCTCCCAGGTGAGCTGTAACCTGAGTGAGCAGCTCTGCCGCCCGTAGCCCCCTGCAACTTTGGTTTCCCAGCCCTGTTACTCAGCGAGGTGAAGAGCCGCTGCCTTCCTCCAGCACTGGCTATATTTTGGGTCCATCTTGGTGGCTCTGATAAGCAGCTCAGCACAGAGCAGCTCTGCAGGCTGTGGCTGGTAGGGGAGCCAGGGAGGACATTTTGCATTCTTGCTGGAGACGCATGAGGGCTCTTTGGCTGATCTGGTGACGGACAGACAGACCAAGTGTCTACTAGAGCCCAGCTGAGGCTGGGGAGAATTGTGTTTGCAACGCATTGCTCTGCACAAAGCTCGCAGTCACAAGGCGAGGGGGACAAAAGGCTCCCTGTTCGCTCCGTCCCAGTGGGTGCAATTCCAACAGTTAAAAAGCAAATGTGAGTTGTTTGTCTCTGTGAATATAAAGCTTCTCCAAGCATGGCTGTATTCTGGCTGGGAATGGGGAGTTTGGCTCCGCTAATGACTGTTCTCCCTGCAGAACGGAGCCAACTCGAGCCAAGAGCTGCCCGGCCGGGCCCTTCCGTACCGGCCCTGGTACGGGGACATGGGCTGAGCAGGGGACGGGCTCCAGGGTCTGATAAATGCCCTTTCAGCTGGGCCTGGGTGCTCGGCAGAGAGCAGTGAGGAGGGAAGAGCATGGGGATGAGTCTGTTGTACCCAGGGGTGACAGCCCCCGTGAGCATCCTGCCAGCGTCCGGGATCTTCTCCCGGGCCCAAGGGGCTCGATGTCCTCAGCAAAAGGGAACCCCAGGCACGGCAGGCTGGCTCCCTTGAGTCATCAGATCTGCTGATTTGGGGCATCTGACTGCAAGTCCAAGGGTTGCTGTCACAGACTGGGGAGCTCTTGAGTCATGTCTCTCCGTACCTGAATTTGGGTGGCTGCCCTGCTCATGGGAAGGCCTGTGAATCCCTGCAGTGCTGGGTTTTCACCTGGGTTTTTATTCCCAGACCAACTGGAGAAGGAAGGGGACGGGTGCACGTGGCTGGAGGTGTGATGATGCAGGGCAGTGTGCCGGCTCTGTGCCCTGTCCTTGGCAGCCCGGTTGTGCCGGGGAGTGGGACAGGTAGTTGTGAAGCTGCTGTGGGACCTGGAGGTGAGTGCGGGTCTCGGGGCAAAGACTGCAAACCACGTGCTGCAGCTGGGCCTGGCTTATGGACACATCCACACCATCTACATGGAGGATCCTGAGCTATAACGGGGCTGTTGAGGTGGTGCCAGTGCCCGATGTGGAACAAATGCTTTCTGTGGCTGGCTGCATGTGGCTCCCCTGAGGGTATGTGGCTTTTAACCCCCACGTTCCTGGCAGCCAAGCTGTGCTGGGCACAGCCCATGGGCATCTCCACCCTTGCCCAAGGGTCTCCCTCATCCCTGGCTGCTTCTGCATTCACCCCATCCTTCCCTTGGCTTGCTTTCCCTCTGGGCCATGGGGGCTTTGGAGAAGGGTTGTGCACAGCAAGGGAGGGTGGTCATGGGAGGAAAGAGGTGGCTATGCCTGGCCATCAGCCCTGTGCCCTCCATCACGCTATGGGATCCCTGCAGGGAACCCAGCTTGGTCCTGGAGACGCAGTCAAAAATGGGTGCAGGATTCCCCCTGCGCCCACGTCTCCCTCCTCCACTAGGCAAAGCCTGGAGTGGGGGCTGGCAACGTCCCGAGATGTAGGGCACATCTGGAGGGCATCGAAGCAGTTAAGTGAAGGGCTGATTTGTGCTATAGAAACCCACAGTTCCTTCCTTTGATCCTCTGAATCAGCCCATTGCCTCCGTCTTATAAAGCCCCATTTATCTCTGCTTTTCCCAGTAAGTTTGAAGGCGGTCGCGGCTCGTGGCTCCTCGGCAGCAGTGAGCTCTCCCGGCTTTTTCTTCCGCTGAAGCAGAATCAGGTGAAATCTCTATGGCAACTAGCAGATGACAGTGAGTCTTGTTGCCTTGGAAATGAGGCAAGGAAAAAAAAAAAACCACCACCCAAAAAGAGCCATCTGGAATTTTGAATTTCCACAATGTCCGACCTGCGTCTGGTGACGTGTGGGGAGCGTGAACCCGCTGCCGCCGGCTGCTCCGGGGCCTCTGAGCCGGGGCCCGTCTGTACCTTCTGCCTTGCCATGGGGTTGTTTTTTTGTTGTGTGTTCCCCCCCCCGCCCCTTTCTGGCTTTTTTTTTTTTTTTTTTTTTGCGCAGGGTCTGCAGCATTGCCTTGAACATCTGCTGGTGGCTGCATTAAAGGTGTCGTGTGCGGAGCATTTGGGGTGCCTGAAATCCCCGGGCTGGGCGCAGCTGTGCCACATTGCTGGCCAGGACGGCGCTGGCACACCCCAATAACTTTAACCCCGGGGGGGGGAAACTGAGGCACAGAGTGCTGCATGACCGGCCTGACCCCACTCTGCAAGGGCCCCAGCTTAGGACAGACCCCAGGTGCGGTGACCACTCGTGGCTCCGTGTCCCCATGTGCCTGAGGCCACAGGGCTGTTAATGGGGAGTTAGTGTCACCGTGCGCTCCTTCTGCTGCGTGCGCCAGTCTCCGGAGGCTCGGCGCACCCCTTGGTGCACTGATCCAGCCCACTCACCCGCCATTTGCGATCCCCCTCCTTCCCAAACTGCGCAGGCGTTTCTTCTGGGTTATTTTGGAGACTCGCGGTGCCGGGGACAGGGGTTTTGGGATGCTCTCAGCTCCTCTGGCACTTTGCAGGAGCAGCTTTGGAGGCAGCTGTGTTGCAGGGGTGTGCGGTGCTGTGCGCAGGAGCAGGGTTGGCCCCAATGTGGGGGATTTGGGGCTCTCCCAGCTCATCAGCGTGGGGGAGCGGAGGGCGGCGCGGAGGTGGGATGCATGGGGCGTTGAGCAGCTAGAGGCTCTTGCTGCTGAAAAAGGAGCTGTAATTTGGATGCACAGGTGGGGTGGTTTGGCGCCAAATGCAGCATCCATTGAAAGAATAACCGGCAAATGGGCTGGAGGCCCGGTCTGGATCTCTCCAGCGAGTTCACTTGGAAACTTGTGTATGGGAGAGACCCAATTAAGTAGATTTATGGCTGCTCTAGCCTGAGAAAGTCTGAATCCCTTTTAAAAGCTTGGCTCACTGGAGCCAGACGGGGTCCAGGCTCCAGGTCTCTCAGCCCTGCCCTCGTTACAAGCAGCGATTCGCAAGGCTTAGCAGCAGCGATCGCCACAGAAGTGCTGATTCGGCTGAAGTCCCGGTCTGTCACCGCTGCGCCGCTGCTAATTTTCTGCTCTCGCCTGTCAGCGGGGAGCTGATGGCCGCCACGCACAGAGTGGGACTGTCCCAGCCTGCACTGGCTGCAGTGATGGGGGATGGCTGCGGTAATGGGGACAGCGGGTGCAGGTGGAGGAAGGGGCTTCCTTCCCCACTGCAGCCACCGTTGGAGCCTCCTGCAGATCCATGTTGTTTTGCAGAAGGGTCCAGCAAGGTGTGAGACAGGGGATGGCCGTGCCAAAACGGGGTTCTTCTGCTCTCACTGTATCCCTCTGCAGGGCTGGTGCTCCTCAGGAGGCTTTGACCATGTGCGGTGCACAAGGCCACTGCCACTGGCACTGCCCACTGTGACCCATTGCCTCCCCCAAATTTTGCTCCTTGGCCTTTCGCTGCTTGGCCTTTCCTCCCTCTGCCAAGGGCGAGAGCAGGACGCGCTGGGCTGCATCCAGTCTCCTCCCCGCAGCCTGCACAGGGCTACGTGCGGGGCGGCAGCGAGCAGGGAGCCCTGCTTGCCCTGGTTGGAGTCAGGGATAGGGACATATCCTCAGGTACCTGCAGCGTCCCATGCATGTCCCCTGTCCCCGTTGGCAGGAGGTTGTTCCTTCATGTCCCTGGAGAACGGTGCCTTCGCCTCTGCCAGCTTGGGGCTGCTGCCTTCACCCGGGCGATGGTGGCCATGCTGCTCCCCATCGGTCTGCCCAGGGTGTTTTAGAGGCACCAGTCAACCGTCTGGGTACACAGGTACCGCGTTACCAGAGTGCTGGATGGCACAGGGATCCCAACCCCATCCCTGCCCATCGGGGAGCAGGACCCACTCCTGACACTGCTGCAGGAGACGTGGCGTTGGCAGCTAGCCCTCAGCTCACACCAAGAAGCCCCTGGCAATTAAAGCGATTAAACTATGGTGAGTGCTAATGAACCTGCTGCCTTCTGATGGGGTGGGGCAACAGTTTCGCAGGAAAGGGTGAGATGCCCTCCTGGGGCACTGAGTGGGGGATGCGTGATCTGCCCCACCGGGGTGCCCTGTAGTATCTCCTGAGAGGAGTGGTTTGGGGGGGTCCCGATACATCCCTGGGGGATCATGCAGGGATTGCAGGGATGGGGCTGGGCCAGAAAAGGAGGCTGATGGTGGAAGCAAAGACTGTGGACCTGGCAGTCACCCCACAGAGCCCCATTAGCCATCTCCGCTGCTCATTTAGCCTGTTTGGTAACTGCTGGGGGGAAGGAAGAGAATTAATAAGCCACAGGGAGAAGGATTGCAGGTTGTGACCATCCCCCTGCCCAGCCGTCCAGGAGTGTGAATCAGAGTTGGATGTAAGAAATGCAAGATAAAGCCATTTGACTCCATATGGAAAGACTCTGCTGTCAGCGTGCCAAGAAGCCGGTAACCAAATCGCATGCTGCGGGGTGCAAGCTGGGGACCCGCAGGGCTCAGCAAGGTTTGCACAGGGCTTGGGGTCTCGGGTCTCCCTTCAGGCTGGCAGCCCGCCGGTGGCAGGCTCTAGGTGCCGGAGCGGAAGGTTTGCAAGGAAAATACCAGCAAAACGATGCCTGGGCTGATTCATTCATAAAGGCAGCTGGGAGCACGGGCTGAGGCAGCACAGTGGGAGAAGCGTGTATCTGTGTGATGGTTTGTGGAGCCGGGGAGCCCGGCTGGGCTGGAGGAGTCTCACGGCCCCGGGAGAATGGTTTTCATTGTAGAGTTTATTGGGGTATTTTTCATTGTGCTGGAAGGAATTGAGCAACCAGTTAAAAATGTTTCACGGCCTTGGGAAATGTGTTGCAGCTACTGTGTACTGTAAGGAGTGCACCGTAATGACTCAGAAACACCGCGAGGCCTTTTATAGCAATTTCCTGCTTGCCATTGAAATCTTTACTGGGTCACCAGGAGTCCTTTCTGAGTCTGGTCTTCCGAAATGAGACTGGTTGGGTCATGGGGAGCAAGAAAATGTGCGTGTGAATGCCATGCTCATGCCAAGCATTTGAACACAGGCGCAGACGGTGCGTCTGTGCAAGACTGGCACACTCATGTTGGCGTTGGTGTTGGCTGCTGCCGTCCTCGTGCCTGTGCACGTACACGTGGGCACGCGTGCGAGGTCACAGGCATGCACATGCACACGTGCACCTTTCTGCAGGCAGAGAGGGGCTTTGCTGCCATGTGGCCCACACATGAACATACGCATGATGCGAACAAACGCTTGGGCGGCACACACACACACGCAGGTTTCTGTGCCAAGGCACATGGGGCACACGTGTCCCATGGATGCAGTTCTGCCTGGCCCCAGCGGGAGCTGTTGGCCACATGCTCCTTTGAAATGAGCTGTCACGAGCCGTTTGGAGTTGATGATTTCCTCATTCCTTGACGTATTTGGCCACGTCGGCAGCACCCCGTCGTGCAGGCAGAGGAGCTGCCATCGCTCGCTCTTGGGGGTGATGGGAAGGGCTGAACGTGAGCACAACCGGGAGTCTCCCGGTCTCCTCCAGCCCTGGCTCTGCAGTGCCCGGCACAGTCAGACCTGCAGCACGCAGCGCCTTGCCCTGAGCCAGCCCTTCGCAGTAGGGCTCTCTCCTTCCTCCTCTTTCTCTTCCTCCTCTTTGGCTGCCTCCAGCCCCGCATCCCACCTTGCTGATGCTCCTTCTCTTGGCGATGGTACCTGCTGCTTCCTCGGTTGTGCAGGGTAGGAGATGGGGGCCATGGGCAGTGCCCGAGCCGGGCACCCACAGTGCCAGGTCTC